ATGGCTTTTGTTGTAAATACGGCCTGATACTAGGTACAGAATTGGGATGGAGGGAGAAGCAGTGTCGATGAATATGAAAGGTACTCCCTTTTCCTTTGTGACTTTTCCTGGGCTCCGTGTGACTCCCAGGTAGGCAACGTGTCCCAGACAAAATAGCCAGGAAAGGAAAAAAGGTAGGAGAGGAGCAATAAATATTGAAACTTCTCAGGATATAACCAACAAAATGACAAGCTTTTTTTTGGTCACGGGTACGGACAATGCTTATGAACTGGGATAGTAAAATGAATATTGGGTTCCAAGGGGTATTGTTTGTCAGTGCGGGGAGGAGGAAAAAGAAATAGGTAGAATGAGGGAGGGGGTGTAAGGGACGGAAAGGGGGAAGGGAGAGACAGAAGGAAAGAGTGAGATCGTGGGGAAGTGCTCAGAGGGTGGTAGCTTTTTTAAAAGTGTGAGGATCTCAGTGATCTGCAGTGATCTCTCCAACTCTGTTCCCCACAGCTCCTGCCAGTGTCCAGTCCGGTGAGTTACTCTTCTCTTTGTTTTCTTAAATCTCTGGGAATTAGATTCACTCTATCAGGCCTGGGAGGGGTGGCCTGTCCTAACCTCTCAGCTGAGGGCTGCAGGGATCTGGGCCAAGACTAGGGTGGAGAGAAGGAGGATGCAGAGCCTCCCTCTCCTCCCCCTGGTCCAGCTACAGCAGGACCCTCCAATGCCACATTCATCTCTGCTTGGCGGCCTCCTTCCTCCGTGGGCAAGAAGACCCTGCCCTGAGTTTGACAAAGCAACACACGATTTCCCCTTTCCTGTTGAGCCCTGAGATAGGAAAGAAGATAACTGTGAAGGGAAAGCAAAGCATGCACTGTGTGGTTGGGAAAACTTCTTCCTGGTTCCGGCTGCAGGGGCTCAAAGTTCCCAACAAGAATCCCTGGAAACAGTGAGGGGAAGCATATTTATAACAGAGTAGAAACAAGGGGCCAAGGAGGTTTTCTGCAGAAAACAAGAATGCCCTGGATCTTCTAATTGGACTGTAAACTCTTCCATGCCTAACTTGGTTTTCCTTAGAATTTTAATATAGTGACATTAAGAGAAAAAGTCTGGTTTCATATGAGACCGGTAAAGCACATTTTCTTCTTTATTCATGCCTTTGAGAATAGATCCATCCTCTAATAAGAAAAGGGGTGATGCTTGTGTAGCGAGGCTTGTAACTTTAAGCAAGAAGGTCCTTAAATTTGTCTCTGGAGCACCTTCATGGGATCCAACAAATTCCCTGAAATTATGATAAAATGTGTATGTATATATGTACAGTTGTGCCCGCATCTAGGGAATGGGTCTGTAGGTAAGATGTCAAAACTTAATGACCAATAACCAGGTATCTTATGGTTAAATACTTATTGCAGTTCAGGAAAACCTGGTTTTAGCATTTCCCCCTGTCTCTTGCCCTATCATTATTACCAACTTGGTCACATAAATATTACTCCTTAAATATTTCTTTAATCAAACTGATTATATCTCTATAATCATCACTGAAAAATCTTCCCCACTGTCAATTTGGAGGAAGAACATATTTGGGCTCCCACACTCCTCTCTCTTTATCGATGCTGTCCCCCCTGCCACCCACTCCCATTCTCTATTCTACTGGCAGAAATTTCAAAGTGGTTAAATGATGTACAGAAGTTGTCCTTGAACTCGTTTGATCACTTTGCACTATTCAGAACAAAAAAAAATCGAGTGTCTTAAATATATTAAATAGATACATGGAAATAGTGAACCTGGTAAAGATGTACAAACCCAGAAAATTTAAAAGATGAGAAGATCTATTATGTACAATGGAAGTTCAAAGGGCTTTCTCCCCATCTCCTTGTAAGTCTCAGTTTGGAGACTGTGACCTAGACCTCACTGTGAGAGGATCTCTCTTTGGAGACAGGACCCTGGGCAGGGTCCCGCTACCCCTCCTCCGTAACCTCATACCAGAGCACTGAGCTAGGCACACAGCCTGCACAGCACTTGCATGCCCTGTCTCCTCCCTGCAGGGGAATGGCCCAGTGTTCAGGTCTGGGATTTGTTTTTATTTTTTATCAGAACAACAAACATTTTCCCTGGAATCCCACGATTCCAAATTGACATTTGAGCCCATATTTCTAGTTCTGTTGCCAACTGAAATGTCCCCCCAAAGCCCAGGTCTACAGGGCTGGGTCACAGAACAGCGTGGTGGCTGGCTCTCCTTCCCTTCTTCAGGAAATGGTCTACAGGCTCCTCCGGTCGGTCGTGCTTTCTTTTCCTGCTGGGGGCAGCGCCAAAGCACCAAAGCTGCTCATTATCTCCCTAATGAGTACTCCCCAGGGGAGACTATGACCCGACAAGTGGAGGCCCACTTCCCTTCTCATAGGGATCATCCAGACCCATTCATGAAAACGATTCTCAGAGTCTCTGAAGAAAGCATTGCAGAGGGAACTCGGGAGATGAAAGATGTAGGTCCCCGGGCCAGTGTCTCAGTGGCCCCGTTTGCTTCATGCAGGGACAATATCAGAGAGAAGGTCTTTGGGTTGATGGTACCACTAGACAGAGTCTCCAAGGAATGAAACACGCAGAGAGAGTTAATTATGGCTCCTGTAGGGACATGCGGTCACCTGGAAGGAGATGCTAGTGGGATCATTTCAAATCCATATTTATTCCAAGTGTTCATTGCTGGGAAGAATGGCATCAAAACCTGTTAACAGACAGAAAACTAACAAGATGTTTTTTGGACAGAATGCCAGGGAGGTGGAGCTCAACTTTACTTAGTGGGGAGACTGACAGAGCCAGCATGTCCCAAGGCAACTGCAGATGCTCAGACTGACTCATGGTAGAGCACTGTCCCTTCCCCTTAGAAGCAGAAGGGGAGGCACCAGGGCAGGGGGCAGCCTTGTCACTGGGTACCTTTGCTTCTTTTGTAGGCTGGCTGAGTATCAGCATACCATACAATGTCTACGAAGGAGACCAGGTGGTTATAAGATGCTCTGGGGAAACAAATGACAAGATAAATAGACTAACGTACTACAAGGACGGCTTTCAAATATCCACTTACCATAATGCCACAAGCCACACCATTTCAAATGCAAGACGCAGCGACAGCGGCTCCTACTTCTGTAAGGCAGAGAGGACATTATTCCCTCCTATAGGTGTGACAGAAGAGACAAGAACTACGTGGCTCATTGTCCGAGGTGAGGCCCTCACTCTTGGACTGGATGAATCTGGGAAGGAATAGGAGTCTGGTGGGAAGGGGAGGGTGCCGGGAAGAGAAGACCACACAGGGAGGGAGAAATGGTGGGTGGGCTGAGAGTCCTTGAACCTGGCTCTGTGTGTTGGGTTCTTTGGGGCCACTTCTCATCAGGAACTCCACACTCCACAGATAACGGGTAGTCTCTGTGTCCTCTCTCCCCATAGAACTGTTTCCGACCCCTGAACTGAGAGCCAGACCCCTGCGACCCACAGAAGGCTGCTCGATGATGCTGTCCTGTAACACCCAGCTGCCTTCAGCGAAGTCATCGACCCAGCTTCGATACTCCTTCATCAGAGATGGCCACACCCTGAGGTCAGGCTGGACCTCAGCAAGGGTTAAGATCCCAGCGACACAGAAAAAAGACTCGGGGCATTATTGGTGTGAGGCCAGGACAGCGTCTCGTCGTGTCTCCAAGCAGAGCCGCCCATCCTATGTAGAAGTGCAGAGTGAGCATCCACGGGCTGGGCCGCCAGGGCTGGGTCAGGCAGGGAAGAACGGGGCACAGCCTGGACCAGTTGTGCTCCCCAATCCCTATGGATGAGGGGGCTACCGTGATCCGCCTGGGCTCTTCTCTAATAATCTCTGCAGGGACATCGTTTCCCCATAACTTTGCTTTACCTGTCAGAGAAGCAGTGATGATAATAATCCCTCTCTGGAGCATTTACCATGAAACGAGCACTGACCAGCAAACCAAGAAGTAAATAAAAAATCATTGGTGTCTTGTTTGCAAGGAGTGACCCAACTAGGATGCACGTTTAACAGAGCAACGAAGGCACTAAGTAACAATAATAATTAATAATGAAAGAAATGATTACAACAATCCCCGGCACTTATAAAAGGATCACTGTATGACAAACCCAATTAAAGCTGTTGTGCTCGGTTCTAGGAGAATATCTCTGATGGTCATAAATATCTGCAACAGGGAAGACTTATGCACATTCACCATGTAGAAGGCACTTTTCGGAGCACTTTAACATTGAGTTATTATAGCAGCCCTATGAAACAGTACTGTGATGAGTACCTGTAATGTATGCACTATTATTATCCCCATTTTGCAAATGAGAAAACTGATGGCCTAGAGTCATTTACAAGACTAACCGAAGGGAACCTAGAGCTGCAACTTGATCCTGGTGGCTCTGGTTCCAAATGTATGCACTTTTAATCCTCTTGCACCACTTTCTACCTAACAGTGGCCGAGGAGAGTGTATCAATAAGAGATGTTGCCGAACAGCTTCATAGCGAGAGGTGCTTTCTATCTGCATCTCATTTAATCTCCATGAGAACTCTGCGAGGTTAGGATGATTACCCACATGTTTATGTTGGAGAAAAACGAGGATTGGAGGTCTTGACGTTCCCAGATCATGCGGTGAATGAGTGGCAGAGTTGAACTGTAACTTCCGCCCGCCTGCCTCCCCAGGCTATGATCTGCCACCACTCCTACTGCCCCCACGCACCAGGAGGTCAGGAGAGAGCACGTCATTGTAGGCTCTGGACATTAGTAAGGATGTGCAATTGTTACTAACTGGAACATTGTGGGGTGGTCCTGCATAACGTCCCTCAATATATTATCTCCCCGCTTAAAAAAAAAATACTCAGGCAAGTGGAGTGGACTCTCCTCTGCCTAAACATTGCATTCAAATATTACTTGCCATAATGCTCCAAAGGTGGTACTGGACTCCACCACCGCCCTGCCTTCCCCACACCTGTCCCTCAGCTGCTGTCCCCTCTTGTGTTCCCGCAGGGGTCCCTGTGTCTCAGGTTTCCATGAAGACCCAGCCCCCAGGGGTTCAGGCAGTTGAGGGGGAGATGCTGGTCCTTGTCTGCTCCGTGGCTAAAGGCACAGGGGTCACCACATTCTCCTGGCACAGAGAGGACACATCGGAGAGTCTGGGGAGGAAGATGCAGTGTTCCCAGAGAGCAGAGCTGGAGATCCCAGTCGTCCCCGGGAGCCACGGCGGGGGATTCTACTGCACAGCTGACAACAGCTACGGCCCGGTCCAGAGCCAGGTGGTGAACATCACTGTGAGGGGTGAGGAGCGTTCCTGCAATCAGCCAGCCAGCGACTCCCGACGGGGGTGGGTTTCCTCCTGCAGCAGAGGGTGCTCTAAAGGAAATGACAAGGCTCAGGGCAGAAAGGTGCATGGGAGGGTATCGTTGAGAGGGTGGAGGGGGCAGTGCCAGCCGCGGAGGCACTGAAGGAGGGTGAGAAGGTGGTCAGGAGGCAGGCTCCCTGGCGTGCTCAGAGGCATGCTGTCCAGAAGTCTCCATCCGAGCTCCTCTGAGCTCCGTGGGGGAACCGTCTCTGCGAGGTTAGATCAGGAGGTGCCACCTTGAGAAAGGCTCAGGAGGGAGGGATTCTGGAGGACCCTCCAGTGAGGGGGGGGGGGCTGTGATTCCCACCTCCCTCTCCGATGGCGCCTCTGCCTCTGCAGTTCCAGTGTCACATCCCATCCTCACGTTCGGTGCCCCCGGGACCCGGGCCTTCATGGGACCTGTGATGGAGCTTCACTGTGAGGACGGGAGAGCGTCTCCCCCCATCCTGTACTGGTTTTATTACGAGGACGTCACCCTGGGGAACAGCTCAGCCCCTTTTGGAGGGGGAGCCTCCTTCAACTTCTCCCTGACTGCAAATCATTCTGGATCCTACTTCTGTAAGGCTGACAATGGCCTGGGAGCACGGCACAGTGAGCTGATGAAACTCAGTGTCACAGGTAGGACCAGCAACGACGTGTGCCCCCTTTCCATTGGAGTTCTCCTCCCTCCAGTCAATCAGAGGTCTACCAGAAGTCTCTCAGCTCCCCAGGCCCTCCTTTGGGTCTTAACAACGTCACTGGTCCAAAGCTTACAAACGCCTACTATCTGTTTCCTTTTCACCTAGATAACAAAATATGTACAAAACAGACAATTTGCAAGACACTGTATTGGGGTCAGGTCAGTGTAAGGAGAGGGGTGGGTGAGCATGGATAAGGGAGGAAGGCATCTCCAAGAAAAAAATCAAGGAAAGACCTTGCACACCCAGAGCTTCCAGTGAACGATTAGATACAACCAACTCTTGTAAATACCTAAGGAAAAAGTGGGAAAACCAGGAGCAGAGCACTTCCTGGGGTTTAAATTTTTACTAGGATCACCTCATTGATTTGGTGGTGGAGGCTGAACCCAGCTAAGCCTGCACTCTACCGCTGAGCTACCTGCCAGCCCCTTGGCATCCTCATTAAAAGTGAGTTTTCTACTTTTAAGGCTAGATTAGCCTCAGAAGAACAATTTCAGGAGTTTCCACAATTCCTGTGTCCTGCAGCGATTTAAAACAATGTTGGAATTATCTGCAGCTTAAAGAGTCTTTGGAATTAACCCCAACAACTTTCTAAAGCCTGGTAGATTTTTACCTTCCCTGTTCAATCTTTTTTATTAGTCATTTCAAATTTTCCAACGCTTTAAAACACAAATTAAGCCAGAAGTGATGGTGCCCGCTGTAATCCCACAACTCAACAGGCTGAGGCAGGAGGATCACAAGTTAGAGGCCAGCCTCAACCACTTAGCAAGGCCCTGAGCCACTTAGCGAAAACTTGTCTCAAAAGAAAAAAAAAAGGCGGGGGGGGGGGGGGGGGGGGGGGGGGGCTGGGGATGTGGCTCTAGTGGTGTAGCACTCGCAGATTCAATCCCTGGTACCAAAGAAAAGGAGACGTGGGGGCTGTCGATCCCAAAATGCACCTATTACTTTTCTGTTTGCAGATGCTTCTCCCGAAGTCCGCTTGATGAATGGTCCCCACCGCTGTGAAGGGCGGGTGGAGATGAAAAAGGAAGGTCACTGGGGTACTGTGTGTGACGACGGCTGGGACATGAAGGAAGTGGCTGTGGTGTGTCGGGAGCTGGGCTGCGGAGCAGGCAAACGCACACCTGCAGGTGTGTTGTACCAACCGGGGGCAGAAGAGGCCCAGCCTGTGCACCTTCAGGAAGCCCGGTGCAACGGGACAGAGAGGACACTGGCCGAATGTAAGCACACCAACACCTTCAACTGTGGACACGAGGAGGATGCAGGGGCCGCGTGTGAAGGTGGGTGATGGCCGATGGGAATCGTGGACCCACCGGCTTCTGCCATAGGCTGCTCCCACCCACTCGCTATCGCCCCTTGCCCTTCAAAACACGCACCCACTCTTGCGTTGCGTGTGATCAGGGCCAAACCATCAGTTCCCATTAGGTTTCCCCAGAGTCATAAAGGCCTCTCCTAGGTCTCCGATGATTACTGCCTTTCTGTCATCTTATTAATAACCCAAACCATTCGTATTTTTATTGCCATGGATTGGGGCACAAGGCCCAGAAAATAATTATGAAACCGTGGAGTTGCATGGTCTGAGTGACTTTCATCAAGGTGACCCACTTCCTTTGTTCTATAATCTCTTCTGTTCTTCTGAGCTCTCTCCTAAACAAGCCTATTCATCAAAATCAAGCCCTGGATTCTAGTGGGAGAGGATGGGGGTGGGGGACATGTTGGAAAGACCCCGGGTCTGCCAACTGAGTCACGCCACCAACCACAAAGGACAAAGCTCATGGAGGGTGAAAATAAAATGAGACCTCTGACGGTGCCGACACACCCGCACAGCCAGGGAGACTGCTCTCTCCAGTCCCAGCGCCCAGCCTCCAGGGAACCCTACAGGCCAGAAGTAGAGAAATAGCCTTTTAGAGGTCCTCAGTGAGAAGAAGAACCTTTAGGGCCAGCGGCCCCTGCCCACTCTGAGGAACTGGTAAAGGCTGCAGTGAGTTCGGGGAAACGGAGTCAGTACTGGGCTCTGGAAAGGACCTAGAACGTGGAGTCCACCGTGCAGAGCCTGAAGCCCACCTTTCCCTCACACCAGCCCGGGAAGCAGCCAGCTTCTCTGAGGCTCATTCTCCTTGACATGAAGTGGGATCATGTCTAGTCCAACTTCCCCGCCCAGGGGGGGGTAAAATCCACACTCAAAGACGTGGTGTGCAGGACCGAATCTAGAAAGTTCAAATCTGGCTGATTCGGAGCGGTCAGGAGGAGGGAGGAGGTCTGAGGTTGGAGCTGACCTCCGCCATCCTGGGTCTCACTTCTTCTTGGGAGATCCCTTGAGTTTTTTCTGGAAGATCTGACCTGGATCTCCCCCTCCTGATCCTCTGGTCTCCTTGTCTCCACCGCGTTCTTGCCTTGTCGGGCCTCACAGGCCTGGTTGGTCCCACAGCTCCCGTGGCTTGTTCTGTTCCCTTGGGCAGAGGCATCAGCCTGAGATGGACAAACAAGGAATAAAACTGGGGTGGGCTGGGCCCCCCAAGTCTGATAGAAAGACACACATCAGCCACATTTCTGATCCTCAGAAGGAACTGCTGTTCTGATCCTTCCAAAAGGTTTTTGTAAATAGGTGGCTATATATGAATGAATACATACTGCAGTTGATTGTCCTGCTGACTGCACATTGTTCTATATCGCTTACTAGATGTACCGCTGTGGATACTGGGGAAGACTCCCTAGAGCCAGCACTGACGTGGACTCAGAGTGCTCCGTGAAACAGGCGCCGTGGTGCAGGTCTGTAATCCCAGCGGATCCGGAGGCCGAGGCAAGAGGATCGCACGTTCAAAGCCGGCCTCAGCAAAAGTGAGGCCCTAAGCAACTCAGTGAGACCCTGTCTCTAAGTAAAATACAAAATAGCTGGGGATGTGGCTCAGTGGGTGAGTGCCCCTGAGTTCAATCCCCAGCTCCAAAAAAAAAGAAAGAAAGTTTCCCTGAGCATGACACTTGTCATTTGGTGATTTTTTTTTTTTTTTTTTTTTTTGGTTCCATGAGCTTAAATGAAATACTTTTTGTTTGTCTGATGATTTTTTACTTTCTCTTTCTTTATCTGGGGATTTTTTCCTCTACTAAGAAAACCAGTTATTCAAAACTGCTGGGATTGTACTTCTGTCTTTCTCCGTGTTTAGATCAACTAGTTTGTATGTCTTCAAGAAGTAAAAATTCTACCCTGTTGTGTACCTTTCTGAAATGCAGATTCAGGATTTAAGCACTGCTCAGAGCTATGGAAAAGATAATCAGATCAACTGTCTAGCTTTTACACACTGGCAAATGATAAATCTAAATAAAACTGCCAAACCTTTAAGGATCTTCTCGTCCATTTTTTGGAATGCTGATGTACATGTGTACTGATGTTGGTGATTTGTCTGTTGACTTATAGATAATGACTGCTCCCATAAATTAAAACCTGTTCAATTAGCCCAAATGCCTTTTGATTCTCATGATGTAAGTAAATATTTAACAAGTTAAACTCGTTGGTGAAATCAAAGTAAGGATAGCTTTAAGGTCACTGGCACATGTTGCCACCTGGGCTGTAGGCCTGCCAATCAACCAGGGAAATATTGGTCTCTGTTAAACGTTTAACATACAACGTTCACTGCTTTCTATATACAGCAACTTTTAGGGTTTTGGCAATAAATACATAAATAAAATTTTTTTAGTTTAGCAATGAAATGTTAACAGAAGAAAGTCCACAGATATAGAAAAGACACACTCATGCACATGTATACACAAACATATACACATACACTACGTATTTACGTGCTTTCTTGAAGGACCATTTTAGTTTAAAAAAAATTTTGATTTTACACTAAACTTAGTGTAAAAATTTTTGCATTAAAGATTTTTTTTCTTCTTTTTTTAGTTATATGTGACAGTAGAATGTATTTTTTTTTAATATTTACTTTTTAGGTGTAGATGGACACAACACAATACCTTTATTTTTATGTGGTGCTGAGGATCGAACCAGGGTCCTTGCCCGTGCTAGGTGAGTGCTCTACTGCTGAGCCACAACCCCAGCCCAGTAGAATGTACTTTGACATATCATATACATGGCGTATAACTTCCGATTCTTGTGGTTGGACATGACATGAAGTTACGCTGGTCATGTATTCATATGTGAACATGGGAAAAATATGTCTGATTCATTCTGTCATTCCCATTTCTATCCTCCTCCCTTCTCCTCATTCCCCCTGTCCAATCCTGTGAACATATACTCCCCTGCCCCATTGTGGGTCTAGCAACCACATATCAGAGAGAACATTCAACCTTTCACCTTGGGGGATTGGCTTATTTCACTTAGCATGATAGCCTCCAGTTCCACCCATTTACCAGCGAAATGCCATAATTTCATTCTTCTTCATGGCTGAGTAGTATTCCATTGTGTATATGTACCACTGAAGTTTTTGGTTTTGCTCTTAAACTGTCCTCTCAAGAAAGCAAATCTTTTTTTATCCCAACAGGCTTTTTATTCTGATTTTCCTTTTTTTTTTTTTTTTTTGAGCATGCAAATGTAAAGGACAGAAAAGGCTACTTGCTCATCCTATGAGCCCTCTACACTTTAATGTTAGTGTTTAGTAATGTTTACTAATATTTAAGTCTCAAAAATATTTGAGTGAATGGTTTCATTTAGAAATTAGTAATTAAATTTTGCATCTGTGGATATGGGGAGAAGAAAAGTAGCATACATTTTTTCCAGATTAGACATTTGTATTGACAGATAATTTACAGAACATATTATGTGTTAGCTCTTATTTTTAGAAAAGCTTCAAAAATGGTTTGGGTATTTTAATTGGAATTATGTTATAATTTTATTACTATCATTGTTTACTTTTAGGAGAAATCTGATATTTTTATGCAAAGCAATCTTTCAATCCAAAAACAAGATATGCTGTTCCACTTATGTTGTCTTTAACTAGATCACTCAGCAGTTATCTGTTAATTAAACTCTTATGAATTTTACCTATTTCTTGTTGATTTTACTTTAGGCTTTTTATACTCTTGAAATTATCATTTGGAATTTTTATTTCATTATATTTCTCAGTTGACTATTTTAGCACATGGGATAAATATTGGGTCTCACCCTGATTGATTCTTGTTCCCAAGTATTTCACAGAGTTATCATTTCTAATATTATCAGTTAATTCTCTTAGGTTTTCTAAGTGTACGATCATATCTATGGAAAATTCCACTTTCTTCTACCAATGTATTGTACACATGCTTTTTTCTCTTCCTAAATTCATTGGATGATCTTTCTAGAACAATGTTGAATAATTGTGATGATAATAGGCACCCTTGCTTTATTCACAGATCTAACAGGAAGACTTCGAGTTTCACCATTAACTGTGAGGCAGCCTTCTAAAGTAAGAGATGTGCTTATAACATCAAGAGATTATCTACTATATAAATCACTATGAATTTTGTTTACTATGTATTTGGAAGTAGATATTGATTGGGGGGGTGAGGGGATACTAGGGATTGAACCCAGGGGTGCTCTACAGATAAACTACATTCCTAGTCTTTTATTTTGAGGAAGGGTCTCACTAAGTTGCCCAGGCTGACCTGGAATTTGTGATCCTCCAGCCTCAGCCTCCTGAGTTGTTGGGATTACAAGCCTGTGCCACCATGTCTGGCAAGATGCTGGATTTTTAAAACATCTTCCTGGTGTTGTTTTGTTCCCTTTTCAGTTATTATAATGAAGTATATTAACATATTTCCTAATAATAAGATTTGCAACCCAACCTGAGTGTGATGTGTATTAATATTCTGCTGAATCCTATTTGATATTATCTTATGTAAAATTTTTTCATAGATGCTCATAAAGAGGATTTATCTGCAATTTTTTATTCTTTCTTTGAAAAAGCTTTGATAACAATGCTATATTGGTTTTTATTATGTAAGCAGGTTTCTTTCTCTATGATGAAAAAATTTAAATATGCCCACATTTTTTTTCTTGAAGATTAAAAAAATAGTTAATGTGATACCTGACCTGATATGTGGCTTCCTAATAATATTTTCGGTGTTTTTCATGACTATTATTCTACTTATTTAATTGTCTCTTCTTACATAAAATTTGGTAATTTGTATTTTCCTAGAAAATGATCCATTCAAAGTAGGTTTTCAAACGCTGTATATTTCTTCATTCTCCCTTCCATCTTGATCAGGCTATTCAATGGTGTATCTATTTATTTTTCATGGAAAAGCCTTTGAGTTTATTCATATATTATATTGTGAAGTTTTGGATTGTTTATTCATTAG